AAGAGGGAGAGAGGAAAGGGAAGGGGAGGGAGAGAGGGGGAGGGAGGGAATGAGAGAGGGGGAGAGGGAGGGAAGGGGGAGGGGGAGAGGGAGGGAAGGAGGGAGGGGAGAGGGAGGGAGGGAGGGAGGGAGGGAGGGAGGGAGGGAGGGAGGAAGGGAGGGAGGGGGAGGGAGAGAGAGAGAAATAGAGAATGAGACAGACATTTCAAGCAAAAAAATGTCCCACTCCAGATGAGGTGAGTCAGGCGGCGGTCAGGGCCGGCATCGCGCACTGGGAGCAGCACACCTGCATCAGGTTCGAGCAGACTACCAACATCAACCAACCCCATCTCAAGTTCCAGAAGGATATTGGTTGTTGGTCATATGTTGGGTATCTCTCAGGATATACTACCGGCCAAAGCATTTCCATCGGTGACGGGTGTTCTTCCGTAAGTTTACATGCACTCCAAGTGTATCGGTGCTCCCTTGTCCTAGAAAAAAAAACACGATTTTTCCGAAATAACACGCTCTCGCAAGGGGTTGAATACTCATCCCTCCCTCTCTGCAGCTCGGCATAGTCGTCCACGAAATCGGACACGCCATCGGTTTCTACCACGAGCAGTCCCGCTCCGATCGCAACGACAGCATTCACGTCAACGAGGAGAATATCATAGATGGGAAAGAAGGCAACTTTGGTAGGGAACCACATCACCGCTTGGACAGCAAGGGAATTCCATACGACTACACAAGCATTATGCATTACGGCGGATTCGTAAGTACTTAATTACTTTATTTTCGACCATGGAGGCTAGGACTTGCTTTCTTTAACGTTAAGATGGATCACACCACCGACTTCAAACCAAGATCCATTCACCCCTTAGGGCTTCTCGAAGAACGAGCACCTGACCATCGCCACGGTGGACCCGCGCAACCAGGAGCTAATCGGACGGAGCGGCGGCCTCTCGCACCGGGACAAGCACCTCGCCAATCTCATGTACGGCTGCATCGGTCAGTTCTCATTCGAAACTCTCTGCAGTACCAGTTTGGTCTCGCTTAAAGTTTTCTTGATTTTGATTTAAAGGTCTGGGGACGTCGATGAGGTAAAAGCCATGCTCATTTTCGTTGCAGACAAGTGGTTGGAAGCGTGTGGGATGAGCAGGGACCCCTGCCAGAACGGTGGTTACACTGGAGCAAATTGCACATGCGTGTGTCCACAGGGAACATCCGGGTCTTCCTGCGAAATAAATGAACAAGATTACTTTGGTAAGAACATTAGCTTCAGATACTCTTCAGCATACACACACCCATACAGAAATGTGTTATATGTGTGTACATGTACTGAAATGCACCTTGAGGAGGCACTAATGCATGAGGCCGCTAACTGAAACACTAAGACGTTAATATAAAAAACTATATAAAAGATGAAATTACTGTAAAATAAGTAATCAAAAATCGAGATTCAAATCAGTTTACAGTGTCTAGTAACAAGAAAAATATACCTTTTCTTGGTATGAGGGTTTAGATGCAGCTATATTTTTTCCGTTTTCAAAACCTATGTAGGTGTACATAATTATATACATATATAAAGAGAGGGTGCTATTTAGCTCTCAATGGCTTCCTCGGTTTGGTCCATTCCACTGCACTATCCTAAGTGATATATCCTTAATTAATATAAATGTGCTGTACTTTTGCAATCAGCTTCGCAACGCAGCAACTGCAGTGTGCTCATCACAAGCCCGGGCACGATTACCTCACCTAACTACCCGAACAACTACCCTTATGGTAAGTGTCATTCCACGCTGATTATTTTATTTCTTTGAAACTCACAAAAATGCTAAAATTTCAGTGATTTCAGGTGTTTGACTTTGTAACAGGTTTGACGCTTGGCTATTCGCCCATGCCGTTGCCAGGGCCCTCTCAATATCGTCGTAGTTATTTTAGTAATTCTAACAGTCGCATTTTATCCTGTTTTGATTGTGTATTTTGTAGAATATTCCTTATGAATATCAAGTTTCATAATTCTACGTATATTGAAGCCATTCATTTATTATTCCGAACATATAAAATGTGAAAAATCAAACAAGCAAACAATAATCCTGAAAATATTTGGCGTGGGAGAACTACGCCTCGACTTGCTCGAGTTTTGTACGCATCAAATCTGCCACTTAAAAACGTTATTTTCTCTTTAAAAAATACGAATGAGAATTAATATATTCTTAGTGCAAGATGCGTTTGCCCGGTTTCAACTATCATCGGAAATGCATGCGATAGCGAAGTCACACACACGCACATCCTCACACGCTCACACAAGCACACAAACACACACACACACACACACACATAAACTTACACTAATGTGATGTTTACTTTATCCTCCAGCGCGACGTATCTTCCATTATTATGATTATTTAGTAATTATTATCATTGCTAATTCCAACCCCCATGGGTTTTAAGATCAATAAGATTACGCATGGCAGGTGGGTCTTTAGCTCATATATGAGCATGATTTGTTCTGATGAAGTTATAGACGAAACCGCTCAATTACATATCGCGCTGTGTAGATGTTCATTGTCATACATACATTTCTATACATTTGTTGCAATGAATACTCTTAATCGTTATTTGAAGTTATCTTGAATTGATTTGTAAAATGTTTTATTTTTAAAATAATGTTTCACAGTTTTCCGTACATTGAGTATTGATAGTCGTATAAATCAGATACTGTTACTATCAATAATAATATGTGAAAACAGCAGAATGGATCTATCATCTAAATGCAACATGCACAAATTGTCTGGTAAATATCCTGCTTTTTCACACGTTTTTTTAAAATTAATTAATTAATTAATTTATTATTATTATTATTATTATTTTTTTTTACTTTTCATTTCTAACTTAAACATGGAAAGATTTTGTACCATCATAATGCAGTGAAGACGTGTAATTATGAACTCGTGTAATTTTCTTGCATTTTGTTCTGCATATACGAGTGTAAAGAAACTACTTATTTCTCAAGACAGTTGTGTACAATTTTCTGTCTACTTTTTTCTATGGAAAGAGAAATATATTATAGCACATATTATAGCTCACAACAAGGCTCTTCGATGTTAATATATCGTTTGTGGAAATTAGAAATATTGCTTTTTTAAACCTATACTACAAAACTATATTGGAATAAAAAGCTCTACTGAACTTTTTACTGTTCACATAAGAAAAAAATATTAATCAAATGCCAAGAAAATTTTCCATATAATACCCTACTTTACATGAATTTTGAGATCTCGAGGGCAGAGTAAAACCGACTTTGATCATCCTTGCCTAAAAAAGAAAAGAAAAGAAAAGAAAAAAAAAAAAAAAACATAGTAAACTACAGTGATATTTAATTCTTGTTCTGCTTATTTCTTGCAGGACTAGTATGTGCCAAGTGGATACTAGCGCCCGAGTGCAGCCTGCCCAGAGTGACTTTCAATGCCTTCAGGCTCACATACTGTAGGGACAGATTGGAGATCAGGACAAACAACCGCTACGATGGCAACTTGTAAGTCCTCCTCATCCTTGTAAATGTGTCCGGAACTGAGTTGGCGTATATTGTCATTGGGACTTACTAAAACATGAATTTAGTCTGCTTACAATTGCCCGAGAGATTAATTACTTGAATGTCTGCCTACAGCTACTGTGGCACCAGTATCGCCCCAGGGACCGCGTTTACCTCAACTACCAATGAGCTCATTCTGATGTTTTACACAAGAACCAATTACCAGACTGGTTGGTCTGCAAATGTCACTTTTGTTGATGATCCTAACTGCAGCCTGACCACTCTGCCACCAATCACGCAAGCACCTACCACTCTACCACAAACCACGCAAGCACCTACCTTTCTCCCACCAACCACACAAATACCTACCACTCTGCCACAAACCACGCAAGCACCTACCACTCTCCCACCAACCACGGAAGCACCTACCACTTTACCACCAACCACGGAAGCACCTACCACTCTCACAACCACCACCTACCACTTACCACTCTGCCACCAACCACGCAAGCACCTACCACTCTGCCACCAACCACGGTAGCACCTACCACTCTGCCACCAACCACGCAAACACTTACTACTCTACCACCTACCACTATGCCACCAACCACACTACAACCCGTTCCAAACTGTTCGATACTGTCTACCAGTGCTGGAGTAACTTGGCTCTCACCACACTTCGGCTACGAGAACTACCCAAACAACTTCATGTGTGGACTTACTGAGCATGCGGTGAGTATTGGGAATGTCCTCCGTTTCTGTTTTGTGTTTTGTTTTGTTAATCACTTTGAATCAGGTTTTAAACTGACTTACCATCTTCCAGGATTCTCCATACATGACCGCCTTCAAGATCAACACTTTGCAACTGCAGCGGAAGAAACATAGGCAATGCGTTGACTTTATTGGGATTCAGATTCCTTACAGCAGGACTTTAAAGTAAGAACTGACAACACAAAGGCATTTAACTATGCTTTCGTTTTCTTAGATGATCACACACTTATTTGTAGTGGGTAGATTTCGTTCTTGGATATATATTTTCCTTAGTAGGCCAAAATACCAGATGTTTAGCCCACATCTAAGGGAACGTGTCCGGCAAAACTCATGCCTACAAATGGCCGATTTACACGTCTGTCTTATGGCCATATTTGAAGTATGTACATGTACGTGACATGTGAGCCTAATCGGATATGAGAGATGATGGAGATAGCAAGAGACAGATAAAAACGGTAGGATTACATTTCACACTATCAGGGATATTTCATACTTAAGATATGTTCCATGCGTAATCAATATGCTGTTTAATGATATATAAGCTATATATACCTTTTTTTTTTTTATAAATGATTCTCAGAGCCATTTCTGGATTATATTTGCGACGATGGGTTAGTTAAATATTCACAAATAAATTTGCCTTTAAGAATGAGCCTGAATATGCAATTGCAAATGTTCATGTTTTTTTGGTCTGATGGACACCAAATGGACATGAATAAATGTGATATTATGAGTAAGTACAGACGCTAGAATACTATGAAAAAAAAAAAAAAAACCCCGACGTGAACACGAAATGATGTGACACGAAAGCCATTACTTTCCGCCCAGAGTCCGATCCCAGCTGATGCCAGTCCCTCAGTTAGGCTCAAAGACGGAATCTAAAGCCAGTGTTCTACCGCTGAGCTACCAGCTACCAGCATAAAACTAACAAATACTCTTCCTTCTGTAGATGGGGATACTTCGGTAGATTTAAAGAAACACACACACACACACACACAAATATCGAGATATTAGTATGAAAACATAAGGTGCAGTTATGTACAAAGACAATGGTAGCAATATTTTTTTTCGATTTTTTAGTGTAAGACAACTTTTCATATGACATTTCCTTCTTAGGCTGTGTGGTACAAAGAGAGGGACTGTTCTAGTACCGAATAGGAATCTGAACATCAGCTTCGTGACTGACAACTCTGTAACAGACGTCGGTTTTAGCATCAGTATCACGTGGCGGCAGAGTAAATGTCACCGCATCATTGAACTAACGGACTCCTCTGCAATGGGCATCATCACGAGTCCAAGGTTCCCGAAAAAATATACTAAACATACAGTCTGCGAGTGGTGGATTGTGGTAAGGAATCCGTTGATTTCTGCATTATAAGACAGTGAAGATATGAAATATTAAAAAGAGAAACTTGATTGATACTCCCATGTATTTTTAAAACCATTTCAGGCCCCTGAAGGTAAAAGAATCCAACTAGAATTCACACGAATCAGCCTCAGGGACAGGGACTGCATTAATTCTTACATCGTCATAGACAAGTCAGGGCAGGCCACCTACTGGCGAGAGAACAGCTCACTTCTCTGCGCTGCTCACAGAACGGCGACAGTCGTCTCGGTTGGCCGCGCCGTTAACGTTGCTTTTGCCGGCGGACGGAAGCGCTCTTGGGGCTTCTCTGCTCAATACACCGTTGTGTAAAAAGACCGCATAATATGAGGATGGTGCTTCTGTAATGGCACTTGCAGGTTGATGCATACATTGACAGTCAACACGTACAAACGCATATATAGCTCCACGCACTTTCAGGAATACCTGCGCTAAACATATGCATCATTTATCAGTCAGAAACTATTTATACAAAATAGCCATTAAACTCTCTGTAAATATAGACAGAATTTTAGATTCTGTCCCCACTCATAATTAGGAGCAACAAAGGTCAAAAATAATTAGGATGGGGATGAATCGTCAGATAAATATCCAATAAGCATTATATTCTCTGTATATGTGTGGAAATTGTGTATCCACAACTCAAAAAAAAAAAAAAAAAAAAAAAAAAAAAAAAAAAAAAAAAAAAAAAAAGCCAGGGTCGAAACCTTTTACAAAACCTGTTACCTTAGTTTCTTTATATTTGGTTAGGTCTGTTAGCTTGTGTACACAGTGGTTCAGGATATAAACAAGATCTGCGCTTCTATTTCCCCCCCAGAGACGGGCCATTATCTGTGCTTGTTTTAACATGTCCGTGGCAGTGATTTACAGTTTTTGGCCTGGCCTTAGTTTTTACCTTTCTTGATGGAGATATTTCCCTCTACCGATGGAATTAGAATAATGAGGCAGTGGTCCTTTTAAATGCACATATGATCCATACCTCTACCAGTTTTCTGAAGTATCAACAGAGGCATGATGTTCTAGACCAGACAACTGCTTTCTGTAATAAAAACGAATATCTAAATTTATTGAGTTGCATTACTCTTTTTTCTTAATCACCAAGGAGTCGGTTACGAGTCAGTTCACTTCCTCCAAAACCTCCCTACAGTGAGGTTCCTTAACTTCAGTCAAGGATAGGACGTATGAAGTTTTATTTCTGATGGTTTTGGTGGATTTATGATGATAAAGCTTCGGTTTGTGTAATGGCACGGCCATGTTGGATACAAAATTGGCTGGCTGGGTGTTTGGAAAAAGTGGAATCAAATCGTTGACAAAGGTGAATTTGTGAATTTAAATTTTGTATTAAATATGACCGCGCCTGTCCACAAACCGAAACGGGAGACTGAAAATTCGGTACGTTACGGTGTTCTTTCGCACCCGCCAGTGATCCTTCATCAACACCTTCAAAAACAAATCAATCTACTAGGGTTAAAAACATACATAATACCTTCAGTTCAGTTAGATTTGCGAAGTCTGGCTCCGCCCGGGCTTTTTCTCTAGAATGGCCTGCCCTTTGTCAGCTATTTTTAGTTGACTCGTTTTGTTTGAAATATATGCTTAGCGTTGTGGCCAGGTTGCGAGCAAACGTTCCAGTTTTCACCATACAAGTATGTGGTAAACCCTCTTTACCAGCCCAGCAGCTGTTGGGGGGGGGGGTCTCTGTCTCAGAAACTGAGTGTTCACAATTCTGTAAGTAATGTAACAGGGTGCTTACATTCCTTGTCAACCATGTCACTAATAATTTGCCAAGCACATGGCTAACATAGTCATAATCTGTGCAGTATGACTCTGTTTATTTTTGGAGGAAAGGCCAGTGGCTCATAGCCTCGTACTTTCTCTGTGTGTCAGGCGGAGAATGGCAAGAGCCGTAGCTTTGGAACTTTTGCTCAATCTTCTTTGGCTTGGGTTGACGATCATGGGTGTTGGGGGCATGCCCCTGCCTTTTCGACTAGTCGGTCAGCAAGCTCATTCCTTTGGATGCCTATGTGGTTTCGGACCAAGTTTATGATTATTCTTCTACACTGACCAAGGATCTTCTGTGCTATGGTGAGGACAGTAGTCATGAATTAGATGTCGGGCATGTTGTGTTGTAGACAGTGGCTGATCTAGAATCTGTGTGTATGACCATGTGTCGTTCCCTTTGGGACGAGTGGGCCAAGGTTCCCATGATTGCAACTGTTTTAGCTTGGAGCAGTAAGGCATTGTCAGTGATCCTGATAGATGTGGCATCCCTTGCTGCGAAGCAAGCGCCTGCAGTGCGTTTTATGGGATCCACGGATGTCCGTGAAGTAGGTTCTACTACCTGGAGGAATGATTTCTGCAATGACCCATTGTACTTGTGCCTTCAGGTTAGGCATATTGTATTAGTCTTTTCTCTTCCATAAGAAGGTTGATGACCTTTGTCCATCTGGGGGCATCCATAATGATCCTGACTGCTTCATTAAGGCCTGTCCAATTAAAAAAAAAAAAAAAAAATGTACAATGAGGGCAATAGAAGCATGTCAATAATAGGTTGGGCAGCGTGTTCATAGAATGCGCTTAGTACTTTGTGTCCCGCTCCTGTGTGTCTCCCGGTCATTACTTTCATGACAGTCTTTTGTTCGGTCAAGCAGGTACTGGATCTCCTTTTTGAACGGTACAGGCAGTCCTTGACCCATTCCAGATCCATTCCCTGGACAGTGAGTTTTGTCTTTTTGACATTGGTTTTCAGAGACATAGCTTTTGATTTTGCTGCTGAGATCTTTAGACCCGTCCTACAGCACTCTTCAGACAAGGTCCAGACAATGCTGGGCTCTAGTTAGGTAATGCTTGCCAGATCATCTGCATAAGAGATGATCTTACATCCTTCTGGCAGGTGAATATTGAGTATGCTGGACATGAGGGTATTGAAAAGAGCAGGACAGAGGATCCCACCCTGTGACGTTCCATTTTCAAGTGGAATATGCTGAGATAAGTGACCTTGAAACCTGACATTTGCTGTTCTGTTGTTGTAATAGTCAGCTATCCAGGCCAAGAGCCTCTGATTCCCATGTGGATTAGGGTCTCCTGAATGAGAGGACTTGCTAATTCAAAAGCTTTCTCCAAGTCTAGGAATACAACCACGTAGTGCATTTTGTGCTTAGGGGGTCCTATTTTCCACCGGAGCTGATTTAGTACCAGCTGAGCTGAGGAGAGAAATGGGTTAGTACCTGCCTGGCTCCTTTGGTTTGGGTAGCGTGGCAGTTTGCTAGGACTTGTTGATGAGCTGCAGAAATGCAGTGTGAGATGATGGGGTAGGAGATCTGATCAGAGCCTGGTGCTGATCCAAAACTGTTTTTATATATTTTTCCTTGTTCCCTGAGGGAGAACAGGGCATCCGAGTCATCAGGTTGGAGTGCCTTGTCACTGATGAGAGCAATCCTGCCTGGATTTAGGCGTTTTTTCCTCAATGCAGGATGCAAGCTGTTGCTGCTGATTTTGGCTGAGAACTCGAGTACCAGCCTGTGTGCCTCTGATTAGGGGTCATATTGCGTGCATCTCGGGGCTTGGTGGCTGGTAGCTCACCTGACCCATTTCCACAGCTTTGAGAGGTTGGTCTGGTAGCCAAAGGACTGGCACCATTCCTGCCGCTTTTCCTGCTTGACTCTGCTGGCAGTTTCCTTGGCATCCCCAGCTTCCTTTAAAAGGGCAAAGTTCTTTGGCATCAGAAGTTTTATTCTGCACATGTTAACTCTGTGGTTGACCTCCTTGGTCTCATCATTATAGTACCAGGAGTCTTTATGAGTTCTTGCCCATGTCTTTGCGAGTTCTGGGAGAGTTTTGGGATGGTCTGAGAGGCTGCCTGATTTATGGCCTGGACTGGTCGAGCACGTCTACATTTTCACTGTTTGTGGGTTCATTGCATCTCAGACAGTGGGCCAAGCCCTTCTGGAAGGCCAGTTGGTCTTGTCTGTTTTTCATTTGGGGATGTCTTATGGTCTTTGGGCTTACCCAGCATCCAAGAGGGTAGTGACTGTGCCATAGTGATCACTTGTAACGGTTTAATCGACACACCACCGAATTCTCTCCACCATTGTTGCAATGGCTACATATGTGTTGGTTCTTGGGTGTTGTGAAGAGCGATCTTGGAATGTGCCAAGCACGTCTGCGATATGAATGCTTGCCGCATTTGGCCTCCTGCAAGGATCTAACATAGACAGATGTGCATTGAAGTCTCTCCCTATGATCGCTCAGTCTTGTGCTGCAGTAGCACACACCCGGTTTAAATCTAAGCTGTCAGACAGTGGTTTGCTGTACACATTATACAGTGGATTTTGCAAATATAAAGATACGGCATATTTTGTCCAACCTAACACCTCTTACGCATCGTCCACAATGCACGTATCACGACCTAAATGATCCATCTTCAATGTGTATAGATGCTAGGCGAGTGTTGCAATGTAACGAACAACTAGGTAGTCATTTAGCAACGTTATACTACTACAATTACAGAACTGTGGTGTGCAAAATTGACTCCCCTAGATGGCGCCAGTTTTAGTTTCAAATTTTGCCGCCCGAAAATGTTACGATGCTTGATCCAGTTTTATCTAGATCAGTGATCGCGTCACTTTGGTGTGAAATCTGGGGGGTGAGGGGAGCCAGCGATAACAACCGAGAGCATTTTGCCTCGGGTATCTTCGGGCTTTCCAGGGTGCAATTTAAAATTATTGCCTGTAATTCACTTAAAGAAATTATATATATATAACTATAAAGTTAACACAAGTTATATTAGAGATTTATATAATACATTTAGAGTTAATAATCACAAAATTCGTTTGTATTACCTAAAACAAATAGACAAGAAATGGCTGATTTGAAACAGGATCTACACTCGCGTCGACGGCCCGTCAGACTAGCGTTAATAATTTGGAATCTGTATGAAAATAAGAAAAACATATACACACATACACATACATACATCATGAAACACGAAACTATGGGGAAATAGGGAATAAGTGCTACTGCTCTATGTTGCTCAATCGAGAAGTAATATGTTCAAGCGAGAGGCATGTGCTGTCCATTACGACGGTGGTTTTTGCAGTGGAAACACTGAGCCTAGCTGGGCACTCGGACACAAGTCAAGTCCTAGACGAAGACGGCCAGTGAACCGCGCCTTGAGGCGGATTCACCACAGACCGATAAATGCACATCAGTCGGCCTTTATTAACCCAGTCGACAATTGCTTGTATATCAGGCCTATTTCACACAGAGAAGCCAAAAAAAAAAAAAAAAAAAAAAAAAAAAAAAAATAGATACACTTTATACTTCCTAATAGGCCTTAGAATAAAGAACTAGGCCTGATTAAACAACCAGTTCTGTAACCACAAAAGTAACGTACGTACATAAATTGGCCATCATGATTTAGGAGCTCTAACGGGAGTTACCGTGATGACTGTCGACTTGGTGCTGGGGAACTTATGTACAGGGAAATAAGGTCTGGGGAACATCGGTACTGGGGAAGAAAGGTCTGGGTAGCATCGGTACTGGAGAACAATGGCCTGGGGAACATCGGTACTGTGGAACAAAGCTGTCGATAACATAGGTGTGTGTGTGTGTGTGTGTGTGTGTGTGTGTGTGTGTGTGTGTGTGTGTGTGTGTGTGTGTGTGTGTGTGTGTGTGTGTTTGTATCTGTTCAAACTGAACTTGAATATGACTAATATTTTTCTTGTTCCTCCTAAGTCGAACGTTCACGCTTTATTTGTTCCAATCGTTGAAATGCAGTTCATTTGCTGACTCACTGAAGAGAACAATATTGTCGGCAAATGATAGATTTTAAAATATTTCCGCACTACAAGCTGTATTTTTTTTGTATAAGGATTGATAGGCTCTGTCAATTGTTTTACAGTAGATTTCCCTGACATAGTTATATCTTTTAATACTGCTATTTTTTATTTTATTTTTTATTATTTTATTTTATTTCTTTTTATACCGAGTCGAATGAACTTAGTAAACATACACATTGACTTTCTATATTTGGGTTAGTGTGTGGATGTAGTCTATTGTTTACAATCTACTGCGGTATATGTATATATGCATATATATGTGTGTGTATACAGTATATATTTATTCATTTATGTGTGAGTGTTTGTGTGTTTGATTATGTATACACACAGACCACACCTGAGCGCGCGCATAATTGAAGGGCAATATAACATTTTACCAACACAAATTAGTGTATGTATTTATATATGTTAGTTATAATTAAGATTTTATGTAATGAAGTGCAAAGCAGATGATCTACCACATTTGTCGAGATCAATGAGCAGTGCAGCAGGATCATGGCGGCCATGTTGAAAGAGGTGTAAACAAACATGTTTACTGCGTCATTTTTAAATCGCCCAAATTATGAAATTCACCAACGGATAACCATTAAACGCTTACAGAATATTTAAACATGCCTGTCACGTGTGCTGCTGAGAATTGCTCAAACATCTACCAGAGAGGGAATAATATAACTTTTCATTGGTAAGCTAGTCCGAGGCCAAACTTGACAATGCCATGCTTTACCATGAGGTTACGTTTGAATCATGTCCTTTAATTGTGATAAGAACAATTCCATAAGGCTTTCAGTATGACGTTGTTGGCGTTAGGTGTTGGTATTATTAACAGTTAGAAAGGAATCTGTAGCATTGAATTTATCGTTTTTAATTCGTAGGAACATGTATTGTGATGTTTATTAAACATTCGTTTTTGAGTTTGGTTTCACCGCCTATTCTAGTCCAGAACTGGGGCTTTTGTTATTATTCAACCAAGCATATCAAAGATTATTCGGATCAAGTGAAACCTAACTGGCACCTAAACCACAGCTATAATCATAACGAAACCGTAATAATGGTCATATCAATGACTAGCATAATCATCATAATCATAACTACTACAATTATAACCATAACTACTATAACCATCACCATGATGATAACCATAACTCCTGTAATTAGCTTCATAATCATAACCATAGATCCAACTTTTGCATAACACAATCCAATCCAACTCAGTGTAACCCAATGGAATCAAACTCCATATAAACGATCCTAACCCTATCTAGCCCAAGTCAATCCTATGTAACTCACCCCAACCTAATTCACCCCACCCCATCCCATCCCACCCCACCCCACCCCCCCACCCCACCCCACCCCATCCCATCCCATCCCATCCATCCCCATCCCATCCCATCCCATCCCATCCCATCCCATCCCATCCCATCCCATCCCATCCCATCCCATCCCATCCCATCCCATTCTAAGCCACCCTACCCCAATCTAATCCAGTCCAACCTTCCTTACCTGCCCTGTTCCACCCTTACCCAATTTAATTCTAAATACAAGCACTTATTATATATAAGAGATTTGTTTTGCATAATGTTGTTATATAGTAAGAATCACAAGACAGTTTAACTAAGATAGTACAGGTTTGTGGATATTTAACACTACATTTGAAAAACATAAAGTTTTAAAACCATAATAAGATGGTTAATATAGTTGACATTTTATCCTCATTACCAAAATATGTAACAAAAACTTAGCATTATTTAACTGTATGGTGAAATAAATAAATGTATAAATATACCATAATATAATATGATAAACATACTACTGACTAAGAATTCTGAAAACTGATGTGAATGCTGTGTGTTTAGCAAATTCATTTTGGACTTAGGACTAGAGTATTATCAAACCTCAGGGCCCCAGATTAAAGCCAACCTTGTTTTTAATACACACAAAGTGTGTGTATACACACACACACACACACACACACACACACACACACACACACACACACACACACACACACACACACACACACACAACACACACATATATATATATATATATATATATATATATATATATATATATATATATATGTATTTGTATATATATTGCACATAAATATATATATATGTAAATACACAAACATATGTATACATATATTTATATATATGTATGTATATATATATATATATATATATATATATATATTATATATATATATATATATATATATATATATATATATATATTATATATATATATATAATATATATATATATATATATATATATATATATATATATGCCTCTCTCTCTCTGTCTCTCTCTCTCTCTCTCTCTCTCTCTCTCTCTCTCTCTCTCTCTCTCTTCTCTCTCTCTCTATATATATATATATATATATATATATATATATCTATCTATCTATCTATCTATCTATCTATCTATCTATCTCTATCTATCTATCTATCTATCTATCTATCTATCTATCTATCTATCTATCTATCTATCTATCTATCTATCTATCTATCTATCTATCTATCTATCTATCTATCTATATCTATTATCTATATCTATATCTATCTATATCTATCTATCTATCTATCTATCTATCTATCTATATATGTATATATATATATACATACACACACACACACACACACACACACACACACACACACACACACACACACACATATATTATATATGTATATATATGTATATGTATATATATGTGTATTATATACTAATATGGGTATTAGTATTTTTAGGTCCCCTCTTCCTGCAATACATTGACACTTTAAGTTGCTACAAATTTTCTAAACTATATATGTAATAGTTTCTATATTTATCATTTACAGTTTTCCCAAAAATAAAATGTTGCGAGAGAAATGGGTGAAAGCAACTCAGAGAAAGGACTGGAAGCCGACCCAGTACAGCAAGCTCTGTTCTGATCACTTTCTGTTGTCAGATTTCAGGCAAGAGTGTTTCTGGTTTATTTGATTAACAATTCAGTTATGTAAAATTATTTTTAAACACATAAAACTGCCTTTGAGAAGTATTCAGGCCTAAAAAATAGTAGGAAAGTTATTTTGCAGCTTTTAGTTGTAACAGAAATGAGTCTATACTCCTTTAGATTAATTCTTAGGTAACTCATATTTTGGAATTCAGTATATTGATAATTACAGTAATATTGTTTTAGGTTATTCACTAATCGGAGAGAGCTGATGTGCTCTGCAGTCCCTAGTATCTTCAGTCATACGAGACCTGATCAGAGAAGCACCTCAAGTAGGCACAAGCAAAGTGGAGAGCCTCTTCAGATGAAAGAACCCACTGTGTTACTGAAGAACACTGACAGTGATTGTTCTACTGTTAGAAAGTAGGTAATTGCAAAGGAATACAACTGTACAGAAATAGGAAACAAAAAGTCTAATATGGTTTATTTTGAAGGCTATATAGACAAATGTTATACTGTGTAGGTGAATGGTTGTTTATGTAAGGTAATATACAAATAGAGATAGAGTAAAAAATAAAATAAAAGGATTTTCAGACAGATTTTGGTGAAAGAAAAGAGGAAAAGAAGAATCAGAAGAAAGAGAGAAAGGTGGGACCCTGGGAAAGATGAAAAATGTGAGGTAAGAATAATGTAGGCTGCATCTAGTTTGCTATACATGTTTTTTTTTCCTTTTTGAATATACTATTTTCAGTCTGTTCAATAAACATTAGCACCAGATATAATCACAATATTCAATTATGCCTGTAACAGTTGAAGTGAAAAATATTACAACTGCAAATTTGTTGTCTTAGAGAGAAGAGAG